TTTGGTGAGCACAGAGCAAACTATTCTTTCGCTTCAATCGAGTTTCTAAATTTTTTTTAAGTTCGAGCCTTTTTGAGTTCAAGTTTCAATATTATATTTCGAGTTCGAGTTGAACTTGATAATTTTTAGCTCGTGAGTTTTTGAGTCAAGTTGAGCTTACTTTTAAAGTTTTCGAGTTCGAGTTCGAGTCGAGCTCAGCAATACTTGAGTTTGACTCGGCTCGTTTAACAAACAACGTCGTTTGATTTAAAATTTTTTTAGAAAAAAACAGAATACTGGTTTTCAACGGTCCGGTCCGATTCAAACGGTTCACAGCCGGTTCAGCAGTTCCTTCCGGTTCACTAGTAGCGGTTTAACCAGTGTAGAATGAATCGGACCAGGCAGCGGTTCCCGGTTGAACCGACCGGTCCGATTTTCAAAACACTGATAATATTACTATAATTAATTTAAACATTTTCTTTAAAAAATTTAAATTCATAAAATTTATATAATTTTTTTTTACAAAATTGAAAAGATAAATAGGTTTAATAAAAGGGTAAAATTTTATTTTAACCCCTGAACTTCATATAAAATTTTAATTATTGATTTTTTTGTAAATCTAAAATAGTTTAAGGATAAATTTGTAATTTAACATTCGTAGAAATTTTATTATTCAACTACATAAGAAGAATATTTTTGAAAAAAAATTAAGGGCATTTTAGTCCAAAACGTCGGTAATCCAACAATACATAAGGGAATGGGGTAATCACATTCACGGTAATATACTCCAAAAAATTCACTGTCGGTAATAAAAGATTACCGCGGCTGAGAATGTTAGCCAACCAAACGGGGGAATAAGGATTCCATTCTCCTGGTAATAAAATATATCTTGAACCAAACAGCCCCTTAGGATTAAAGAAATTACCTGAACTGGAAAAAATGGGGTAAATATCTAGGCTTTAGGGGGCTAATCACGTCTGTCCCCTAAGACTCGCGCGTTTTTATAGTTTGGTCACTAATCCTTTTTTATTTTGAATTTACACTATTGATTCCATTTTATTTAATTTTGGTTACTTTCTTTTCTGCCATTTTATTTTAAAATTAACATTACTTTCTATTTTATTGCATTTTGGTTACTATTTTATTTTATTTCTTAATAAACGTTTAATACGACCTTGTAGTAACTCTCCTTGAGTTATGATTCACATTATTATAGTCCAGGTAAAATTCTAACTTTTAACCACTAACTTTCTAATTTCTAACCACTAACCTTTTTTATTATTCGAATCAATTTTAAGACCTTGGTCCAGGTAAAAATTAAAAAAACTGACCACTAACATTTAATTTTGTTCGATTGTTTACCTTTTTTATTTACATTTCAACCCTTTAATTTTATGTACTTTTAATTTCAACCTTTAAATTTCAACATTTATATTTCAGTACTTTAAATTCCAGCTTTTAATTTTCTGCATTGTATTAATTTAATCTTTATATTTTTATTTCTTTCATTTTAGTATTTTTACTTATTGCTTTCATTCTAGCTTTGTTTTTTTTAATTATTTTAATTTAGCCCTTTTATGTAGTTTAATTACCTTTAATTTTTTCTTGGTAATTTTGATTCCTTTTAATTTAGTCCTTGATATCTTATTTAGGTTTTAGATTACACCCTGAGTTTTAGATTTATGATATTTTAGTTCTAATCTAAATTACTTTCTCTTTAATTTAGGAGAACTTTTAATTTGGTCTTTGCTTTTGCTCGAGGTTCCATTTTAATTATTAAATTCAATAAATTGGTTAAAATTGAATAGGTTAATAATTAGAGCCTCCACTTAGGCTTAATTTCATACTTAGTCCTTTAATTTAGGAGAACTTTTTATTTGGTCCTCGCTTTTGCTCGAGGATTCATTTTAATTGTTCGATTCAATATTTGGTTAAAAGTAACTAGGTTAATAATTAGAGCCTCCATTCTAGGCTTAATTTCATATCTAGTCCCCTAATTTATGTAAATTTTGATTTGGTCCTTGCTTTTATGCTCGAGGTTCTATTTTGATTTTTCGACTCAATAATTTATTAAAAATTATTTGAATTAATATTAGAGCCTACATTTTTTTAGGTTTAATCTTTTAGGTTCTTTAAATTTCATAATTTGACACTTTAACTTATAGAGAATCCTTAATTGATTCATTTAACATAATTTGACACTTTACGTTAGAGGGAAGCCTTAATTAATTAATTTAGTATAATTAATATTAGAGCTTACATATTTTTAGGTTTAATCTTGTAGGTTCTTTAAATTTCATAATTTAGCACTTTAAGTTAGAGGGAAGCATTGATTAATTCATTTAGTATAATTAGGTTCAATAATTGATTTTTTATTGCATTTTGTTTTCAAAATAAGACAATATTCATTTATTAGAGATCGATTCCCGAAATAAATCAACATCCTTTTCAAAATTCCACATCATAATTTTAAAATCGACAAGGCAATGTTAATTTATTGAGATTAATAACAAAGCTTCCGCTTTTTCTTGGGGTGGTCGTTATTGGTCTTGGTAAACCGACATCCTTTTTAAAATATGCATATATAGTGGTTTTTAAATTAAATAAAATTTTGAACTCAAAATTTCCAATTTGAAAATATAAGGTTATCGACTATGTATCAATTTTTAGGGGCTGTAGGGATGTGCTAATCATTCTCCAAACGTAAAAGACTCCTGAACCCGATTTCCGATTTCGTAGACCAAAGCTTGGATTTTTTCAGTAAAAACAAATGTTTTATTAAAATTAAAAGATTTTAGTTGTTACAATCTCACTTTAAAAATGATTGGTGACAATTCTCATATTTTCATCAAAACACCATTTTATTTTCCAAAACGTTTGATCGGTCTTTTTCAAAAATCGGTCACAACACACATTCACAAGCTCATTTATAGAAGTGCATAATCACGAACGAGTTCTTATGCAATAACATTCCTCTATTAAGCTTAGTGTCAGTGTCTTGTTAACAACCTTATTTTCAGGGATGGATTGAGAAAGGCGGATGGGGTATTCGTTCCTCAAAATTTTAAAATTACTATATATTTTATATTTTTTATGTATTTTTTTAATTAAAATTCTATTTCTATTCCTCTTGAAATTTTATAAATCCGCCATCTCTTAAATTTTTAGAAGTTCGCCCCCAACATAAAATTTTACATTTATCCCTATTTATTTTAATCCATCAAATATGTTTTGAAACACATACCTTTCCAAATAAAGTTGTAATCAAGTAGAATCTATTAAGTGGTCTCAATACTTAAAAGAAGTGTTATTTTTTCTTAGATGTCATGGGTTTAAGCAGCTACATCTATGAGTGTGTGCATTATCGATGATTAAATTTTTTTGAACGATACTATCTTGTAATCATCCTAAACTATTAAAAAAAGGTTTGTAATAAAACAGGCAGTACATCATACTCATTTAATCATGTATTTTCGGCCCTCAAGCTTAGCTAGCATCCATTACAAGCTTATGACCACTCAAGCAATCAACTAAGGTAATTAAGTCATTTTATTAACAAAAAAAAACCAAGAGTTTTGAAATGTTTCCCAAAGTTTTGAAACTTCAAAAGATACTGGAATCAAAGGTTCAAACACTAAGAAAATTCAATTCTAAAACTTGCTTCTTAGACCAAAATAAGGCCACAAACGCCCTTAATGACATCAAACACATTCATACAACATTTCCAGTATATTAAGGCACGTCAAACACATTAAGGTATGCTATTTAACATAAAAGAAAATCATAGATTCATCATATTTGGAACTCATGTATACAGATTACACAAACAACCCATTCAATAAGAATTTATCAAACCTATATGAAATTTCAAAATTTGGTGTGTACAAACCTTTAAACACCTTCTAGCTCACAATCTCCAACCTTCTTTATCACATCCCAAATTATGGATATCTAAGTAAATTCTAAAATTTTAGGAATATGTAATTAATTGCAAAATTTGGAGTAAACTGAAGAAATTGAGATTTTAGGAGTGAAAATGTGAAATTGTAGAAATTTATGGGCTTTTTAGTATAAACTTAGAAAGTTTAGGGGCCAAGTTATTGATTTAACCCTTTTAGGTTGGACCCCTCTCCTGATGATGCTAAGAGTAAGTGGGTTTATCTCTTCAGTCCTGCTTTGGGCTTGAACCTGTGGATCTTTAGATTGGGTTTGGATCAGTGGCGGGTGCACGCCCATTTTAGGATCGACATGTGAGAATTCTAAAATTTGAATTTTCTTTAATTAGTGATTTATTTTATTGATTGTACTCAATTTAAAGTTTTTTTTTGGATAATTAAGATATTATTACCCAAAATAGCAGTAAACTGCTAGACAACAGTACAATCAATGGACAGACAGGGTATTACTTACAACAAAAGCTAGATTATACCCCAATGAGTACAAAGATTTAAATTTGTGCTATATGTTCTATCAATTTCCCTATTACTTAGAAGAAATCTAACAATATCCTTAACAATCTTGACAATTTCTTCTTCAGTTCTGCATCTTCCTCTAAAAATTCTACGATTCCTTTCCTCCCAAATGGTGTAATTAAAAGCGCACCATGAGAGCTTTAGAATACAAGAAATCAAAGATTTACCTTTCCATGAAGCGATCGCCCACTCCAGCGGATTGTTCTATGTTGAGAAGTTCATGTTCAAACCGGACAATTGAAGGATTGATCTCCAAGTGGATGAAGTCTTCACGCACTCAACAAATAGATGATTTCGAGTTTCCTTTGCATTTGAGCAGAAAATACAGAGATCACTGGTAACAAGCCCAAATCTTTGCAGTCTGTCCCTAGTGGGGAGACAATCCAAAATAACCATCCAGGAAATTACGCTGTACTTTGGGACATGGAGAGGGTACCAGATCAATTTATGCCAAGAGACTTTAGTGTCTTTAGGACGGATCTCTTCCCAAATTTCTTTTGTATTTTTTGTTGCTGTGATCGGAACTGATTAAGCAAAACTTCTGATTTTCTACATCCGCCTGAAGCACCAGCTAGCATTCGGATATTCATCCATCGTCCAGAAATCTTGTTGCTTAATTATGTAATTATGGATCCACTCTACCCATAGAGAGCCTTCCCCTGCGAGAACCTTCCTGGTAAGGTGAATTAGGCATGCCTTATTCCAATTCTTGATGTCCTTTAGACCGAGGCCGCCTTCGAATTTAGGCTTACAGATTTTCCCCCAACTCACCCATGCACCAGTTGCAGGAGTGTCCGAGCCTTTCCAGAAAAATCTGGAACATAATTGTTCAATCTTCTTGATAATGGTCTGAGGTAAGATAAGCTACCTGCACCAAAAATTTGCAACACTGTAGAGGACTGATTTAATAAGCTCAAATCTACCTGCATAGCTCATCTTCTTCCGAGACCATTGATGCAGTCTGCTCTTGATGTTGTCGAGAAGTGCTCGACAATCTTTGTCAGTTAGCTTTCTTGTGACAAGAGGAACTCCCAGGTAGCGAACAGGTAGTCTACCATGTTTAAAACCAGAATAATTGTTGATGGAATCAAGGTTATGAGCAGAGATACCAGCAGTGAAAATCTCGCATTTGCTTGCATTAAGCTTCAAACCTGAATACTCATAGAAACAATCCAATGCAGTAATGACACCCATAACAGACTCATGATTTCCTTTGCAAAAAATTAATAAATCATCAGCAATTGACAAGTGAGTGAGTCCAATTTTGTGGCATTTAGGATGAAAGGAAAAAATCCCTCTGGTAGCAGCATTATTGAGAATATTAGAGAGGACATTCATTACCAGAACAAACAACATAGGAGAAAGAGGGTCTCCTTATCTAATTCCCTTGGCTCCCTTAAAATATCCAACCAAGCTTTCATTAAGAGCAATGGAGTATCTGGCGTCCGAATAGCAAGAAACAATCCATTCAATGACTAAAGGAGGTAAATCCAAAGCTTTAAGAACAACATGAGTGAAGTCCCAATTAATGGAGTCGAATGCCTTTTGAAGATCAATTTTAATTGCACACCTCGGCGAAATGATCCTCCTCCCATATCCTTTAACAATTTCCTGAGCGAGAAGCGTATTGTCGACTATACTCATGTGTTTGACAAAGGCAGATTGATTAGGAGCAATAATCCTTGGCAGCAGATTCGTTATTATGTTGACAAGAATTTTTTTGATTGTCTTGTAAATAACAGAACAACATGAAATTGGATGGAAGTCAGATACTTTACTAGGATTCTGCTTTTTTGGAATCAAAGTAATAACCGTTGCATTAAAGCATGGATAGATGTAAGATTCTTGGAAGAAGTACTTAATAGCCTTAATAACATCATTGCCAACCACTGACCAAGCTTTCTTGAAAAAGAGAGAAGTAAATCCATCGGGACCGGGGGCCTTGTCATTACCTTGACTAAAAATAACATCTTTGATCTCATCACTAGTAACTTCCTTGACTAGGTTTTCGGAATCTTCGAATGAAGAGATAGGTTGCATTAGATCTTTAAGAAGTGTAGGAGGGCATTCTTTAACATTAGGATCCTTGGAGCCTAAAATATTCTTAAAATACTCTATTATTTCCGAGGACATTTTATCAAAAGATTCTAGCTTTTCCCCCCAATTGTTGACAAGGGCCCTTATAGTTTGTCTCTTGTTCTTAGTGGCAATGATTGAGTGAAAGAACTTTGTACATTTGTCACCCTCCTTAAGCCAATGCAGTTTAGCCTTTTGTTTTAAGAACATAAACTCGGCCTCTTGTAAAGAGTTGAGCTCTCTCTGTAGTTCAAGTTATTTTTCAATGGAATCAACACCTCTTAACGAAAGAATTTGTTGTCTTTCGAGTTCTTCTCTTTTTTGTCGTACTCGAGCCGTGATGTCACTGAAGTAGTCTTTATTGAGCTGTTTAAGATTGACTTTGAGGCGTTTAAGCTTTAAGAATAAAGACTTCATAGGATTACCTTGTGCTGCCATACTCCATGAATGGTTAACAATATTAAGAAACTCGGGATGAAGAGTCCAACAGTTGAAAATTTTGAAGGGTTTGGGTTTATTCAAATGAGCCTCTTTGTGAAGATCAACCACTGCCATACAATGATCTGAAGGACTAGGTGCTAAAAATTCCACTGAAGAGTGAGGAAAAGATTCGAACCAAATGGAATTTATGAGAACTCTGTCAAGCTTTCGAGCAAGGTAATTGTCACTTTGTTTGTTACTCCCAGAGTATGTTGGACCAAAGTAAGGGTGATCTTGTAACTGTAAGTCATGAGTGATTTCTTGAAATTCTGACATATCAGAAGAGGTGAACATACCCGTGATCTCTTGGTCAGTGCTTTCATAATTATTCAAGATGACATTAAAGTCCCCTCCCAATAGCCAAGGGATGTCACTAAAATTTGAATCAAGATGTCGGAGTTCTTGCCAAAGCTGTCTTCTAGTCAAAGTTGTCTTCTAGTAATACTGTTATTACTTCCATAAATTGTGGTGATAATGAAATGAACATTTTTAAATAGACCTTTGACAGTGATGCTCTGATCTGTTGTATTACATAGGGATAAATCTAAACCATTCCTCCACAAAACCCATATTCTGCCATTCAATGCAAATTCATAGTTGGTGAGGACATTCCAATTCTCGAAAGTAGTTGCTAAAATATTAGCAGATTTTTCTGCTTTCACTCGAGTTTCCATTAAGCAGAGAATATCTACATTATTCTGGGCTGCCCTTCGAAGGACTTGGCCCTGTTTAAGAGGATTATTCAATCCTCTTACGTTCCAGAATGAAACGATCATTTTCCTTGGGATGAGGAGCCTGAGTCCCCTCCTTTGCTTCCTCCTGATGAACCCTTAGATTTGTCAAGATGTCCCTTCTTTTTAATTCTGAGATCTTTTATCAATTCTGCAACACCCGAAGCTGCTGCTCTAACTTTTTTACCTTGATTATCTGCAGAAGGATGTTCCTCATCAATTGTGTTGAGAAGTTCAAATATGTTACTTGACCCTGTTAATGCACTGTGATCTTTAGCAAGCCTTCCTCTACCTTTTTTATTTAGTATTGTAGGAGCAGGAATACAATCACCAGAACTGCCTAGGTGATCAGGAAATTTCAGATTTTCTTCAACATTAAGATCAGAAACAGTATCAGTGAAGACTGGTTTAATGGGGTCACCCGAGACATGAGGGTCATCTTTTTGCGCCTCTAAGCTGATTTGATTCCCTGTGTCGTTATCCTCTAAAGATTGGTTCGAATAAGATTTGGAACCAACAGCCTTTAAAAATTGATTTCCATCAGGACAAACAGCTTCAGGAACCTGGGAGGATGGAGTGACAGTATCTTTTTTCCTCCAGACCATTGTTGATGCTTGAGAATTCGGGTTATGCTTGCATCCTTTAACACTATGACCAAAAACATTACAAATATTGCAGCAAGGAGGCATCCACGGTACTTCAACAACAATCGAAGTTGTTTGGCCGTTATGAAGAATGACATCAATAGACTTAGGAATAACATCTGACGCCCCAATTTCAATACACACTTTGGCAAATTCTAATCTAGTTTTCGTGGCAGTGATAGAATCCATTGAGAGTGGGAAACCTATGGCACTAGAAATATAGCTGAGGCCTTCGCAAGAAAACAGTTCTAACGGAACGTTAAATAGGTGTACCCATATTGGAATTCTAGATAAATCGAGGTGTAGTTTTTCCATGTTTGGAACCCATTTCCTAAGAATTAATGGTTTGTTGAAGATGTGCCAAGGGCCATTCTCCAATACCCAATCCCGTGCTTGTTCCGAACTAAAGGAAAATAAGTAAAGATTGTTACCTGCATAGCTGATCTGCAATTTTGCTCCTTGTAAGGGTTTTCTCCACAGGGAATCGAGAATCTGTTGCAGAGAAACAAGTTTAGGAGCCGCTCCTAAGAATTGCCCAACAAGCGAGAATCTCCATTCAGCAATTCCACCCCATGCAAAACTTTTATATAGTTAATATATGTGTGTCTATCCTAAAATATATTTCTAAATTTGTCACTAATTTTTGCCCAACTCTTTTCCCTTTTCTAGATGATTTTCATTGTCAACCCCTAATTTCTCCTTATTAACACTAGTTTCATATGACGAATCTTTTTTCTTCTCCATCCATGACAATACTCCCCTTCAAACAATCCTTGTCCCAAAAAATAAAATGAAAAAAATCGAGCTTTTGACACAGTATAGTCTTTCCAAGTCAGGTCTTAGATTCGTCCACTACACCACCAATTGAATAACTGTTTAGTTGATTCGCTTCACCATACATTTTTCTAACACCATTGATTGATGATTCTCAATTGTCCATCCATTCTTACTTTTGGGGAATCCAACGAGATTGGCACTTTATAAACAATTTTCTTCTTCAATAAACTCACATGAAATATGAGGTTTATTTTAGATGATTCAATTAGATGTAATTTATATGCCATTAAAAATTGTTAGTCAAGGAATCGATCATTTGAGGGGAGAGATCGATCTTTTATGTCTTTACTAGAAATGGATTAATCTTTTCATGTATTGGATTGATCCAATGACTACTAATCGAGCCTTATGAAGAAATATTCGATTCTTCTATAGAAGGAATTGATCATTTTAGCCAAAAATTATGAGAAACTTAATTTTTAAGTGCAAAAACGATTGTAAAATAAATATGAAAAATCCAACATAGTTGAAAAACATTTAAAACATAATTTTAAGTTTATTTACACTTAGAATTATTTTTACTATTTTTTTTATAAATTTGATTAAATTTAAAATCATTTTTTACCAATATTTGTTATATTAAAATATAAATTCAACCCATTTTATATTAAGAAAAACTTTCCATATGATATTTTCACTTGCTAAATTGGATTACACGACATTGATATAGATCATGAACAAAATTCAGGTCTCAATAGGGTAAACAAAACATTTGCAATCCAACTTTATTTGAATTGATTTTTGTAAAAATAAATAAATTTAAGTAGTTAAGGGATTATTGTTATCTCTTGATATTTCGGGTTTCTATAGATGTATATAAACGTTCATTGTCAAATGATTGAATCTCCCGATCACAAACTTCTAAAGGTATTGTCATTATTGATTTGCAAATGAAAATAATAATATGTAAGAAATATATGTATTATATATAGAATAATGCCTAAATTATGTACGTTTTATACAGTGACTCAAGAATTGATGATCTCACGAACGGGAGTTCTGTCTATTTTAATTACAGGTTCATCAACAAATTCCGACAGGATTGCTCTGAACTCATCTCCTGTAAGAGTCTCTTTCTCCAGCAAAACTTCTACTAGCTTGTCAACGGCCTCACGGTTGTTCCTTATATGGTTCTTTGCAATCTCATATGCAGTTTCAGTTATTTTCTTAACCGATGAATCAATGTCTTCGGCGAGCTTTTCCGACATGGAATTCCTTGCAAGCATCCTTAACACAACGTCGCTACTCTGTACCGAAGGATCAATTAACGTCCATGGTCCGATTTCTGACATGCCGAACCTTGTTACCATCTGTTGAAATTTGAAAGAATAACTTGTTAGCTAAACTGGGTGTACAATATTCATGGATCCTTGGTAGATCAAAGCTTGAAAATTCAGGTTTTCTAGATCCAAACCTGTCTGGCTATTTGGGTTGTTTGTTGCAGGTCCCCTGCTGCACCAGTAGTGATCTCTGGTTCACCAAAGATGACCTCTTCGGCTGCTCGACCGCCAAGCCCCCCAACGATTCTAGCAAAGAGTTGTTGTTTCGAAATAAGATCTGAATCTTCAACTGGTATGAACCATGTTAGCCCTCGAGCTTGGCCTCTGGGGATCAGAGTCACCTTCTAAACTGGATCATGACCCGGTGTCAATGTCCTGCAATCATCACAAGGCTATCAATGTCGAATTCCAGTGGTTATTACATGTTTGCAACATTATCGATTTTATTGATGGGAACTTATGCGCATAGAGCATGGCCAACTTCATGGTACGCCACGAGGATCTTGCTTTTCCCATCTGTCATCTGTGTTCCTTCCATTCCCGCGACGATTCGATCGATCGAATCGTCAATCTCTTTCATCGTGATCTTGTCTTTGCTTCTTCTACCAGCAAGAATGGCGGCTTCGTTCATGAGGTTTGCCAAATCAGCACCACTGAATCCCGGCGTTCTCATGGCGATTACATCGAGTGAAACATCGTTATCCAGTCTCTTGTTGTTGCTGTGTACCTTGAGTATCTCCTCCCTTCCTCGTATATCCGGTAATCCAACACTTACCTGCCTATCAAATCTTCCAGGCCTAAGCAAAGCAGAATCCAGAATTTCAGGCCGATTAGTTGCAGCAAGGACAATAACGCCGGTATTAGCAGTAAAACCATCCATTTCAGTCAACAACTGGTTCAAAGTTTGCTCTCTTTCATCATTTCCTCCACCAATCCCAGTCCCTCTTTGTCTCCCAACAGCATCAATCTCATCGATGAACACCAAACATGGCGAGTTAGCCTTTGCCTTGTTGAACAGATCCCTAACTCTCGAAGCTCCAACACCCACAAACATCTCGATGAACTCTGAACCAGAAAGTGAGAAGAAAGGAACCCCAGCTTCACCTGCAATGGCCTTAGCCAGCAATGTCTTGCCAGTCCCCGGAGGTCCAATTAAAAGCACTCCTTTGGGAATTTTGGCACCCACTGCAGCAAATTTTTCTGGGGTTTTTAAGAACTCCACTACCTCTTCAAAGTCTTGCTTGGCTTCATCAATGCCGGCAACATCGTTAAACGTTACTCCTGTGTTGGGTTCCATCTGAAATTTGGCTTTGCTCCTACACAGTGGAAAAGGACGAACATGATCTAGTAGTAGTAGTAGTACAAGAATTTATCTTATGTATGTATGATGAATAAAGAAGGATATAACTATATAAGTTACCTTCCAAGCCCAAAAGGCAAGTTTGGACCTCCTGCAGGAGTGTTACCAGATGAGCTTCTTAGCAACAAACTGCCAAGCAATATCAATGGAAAAGCCAAATTCCCCAACAAGTCAAGTAAAGCAGCCGACCAGTTCGTCTCCATAGGATGAGCAGAGAAATCCACGTTTTTGCCCTTCATTTTCCTCACCAATTCTTCCGGCAATCCAGGTAACTGAACTCTTACCCTCTGGATTTTCTCAGTTGCAGGGTTATATATCTCGGCAATGCCCACTGTCCCATTCTCGAACAAGTCCACCTTTTTCACCGCACCTTCTTCCAAGTAGTGCAAAAACCTCGAATACGATAGCCTGTTTGATGTGATGTCGGCTGGGGCCTCCGGTTCAGCTTTAGCTAGACCTGTTCCGATGAGACCCGAAGCCATTGAACTCAACAGGTTCCTTTTGGTTAACTTGATGTCTGGGGATGTTTTCGATGATGGGTTGTCTTTGTTAGTTCCTTTGGGGAGATGGGTGTTCTTTGAAAAGCCGTGAGATTTGCAGACTGGAAGATGGGAGGCAGAAAGAGAGAGTGTTGCAGCCATTTCTTTGTAGTTTTTTCTGGCTGTTATTAGGACAAAGCTAGGTTCGAGTGCTTGTCTGAACAATTTGTGATTGCATGTGATTTGGAGGGAATGGCTTGGACATTGGAGTTTCCATAAATACAAATACTAGGATGAAAGGAGGATGGTTCTAGTCATTAAATTTGGATTTGGATTGTTTGGGATATTTTGTTTCTCAAATTTTTCATTTCTTGAAGGGTCTGGAAGTTGTTACGTCAACTTACTTGGATGAAAAAAAAATATTTTGTTCACTTGGTAAACTGTTTAATATAGTTTAAGTAAAATTTTATGTTTAAATCATTGTATACATAGAAAGCTTCTAGCGGGAGACTCAAATCAGATATACAACGTGAATTAATCTAAACTAATCAAGACCAAACTTCAAAATCCGGAGGAAAAAAATGTTTTGTTCTCAGCCATACGTTACTTTGCTGTGCTGTTTTTTTTTATTAAATCTACTAACCATACACTTGGAATCAAAAAAGCTGGTTGCTTTTATGGACTAATTGTATATTCTAAAAGAGAAAATCGCCTCAGTGACCAAAAATGCCTTATAATATACGATTTTAACCAACTTTTTTGGATTTGCCAAAATAACAACAAAATCGCAACGCGAAATAAAAATCGCAACGCGATCCCCAGAATCGCAACGCGATTCTTGAAAATCGCAATGCGATAGTACAAATTCGCATTGCGATTTTCCAAAATCGCAACGCGAATATGAAAATAACGCGAACACATAAATCGCAACGCGTATCCGTAAATCGCAACGTGTATCCGTAAATCGCAACGCGTATGGGTAAATCGCAATGCGTATCCGTATATCGCAACGCGTATCCGTAAATCGCAACGATAATAAATAAAATCGCAACGCGTATCCGTAAATCGTTACGCGATATTTAAAGCGCCATTATAATCGCTACGCGTATTTTATTTTCAAATTACAAAAACGAATATTAAGACAAAATCCCGTAATCGCAACTCATAACCTAAAACCTAAAATCACAACTCAGTCCCATCTCCATCTCTCACTCTCTACGGCGAAGAAATCCGTCCCCATCTCCGAAGATTTCCGTCCCCATCTCCGGCGAAATCCCTCACAACCATTCACGGTCAGAAATCCCTCACAATATTCAGAAATGGAAAATCAACCTCCGAGGGTTAGTTTTTTTAATTATTTTTATTTTGAAATGTTTGCATTATTGTAGGTTTTTCATATTGAAACTGATGATAAGTTTACTGGTCATTTCAATAATAGATTAACCATTTCACTTAGATTTCATTTCGCGTTACGATTCTGTCGTTGCGATTTTCATTTCGCGTTGCTATTCTCTCGTTGCGATTTTCAAGTTAGTATTTGTCTTTGTCTTTGTTCTGTCTTTTGGTTGAAGTAATGCAATCCATTCAAGTTTCAATTTGCAGAAGAGTCGCAACGAGATAAATGAAAATCGCAACGAGAGAATGACTGTCGCAACGAGAGAAATGAAAATCGCAACGAGAGAATCGCAACGCGAAATGAAAATCGCAACGAGAGAATCGCAACGCGAAACCAAAATCGCATTGCGATTTTCATTTCGCGTTGCGATTCTCTCGTTGCGATTTTCATTTCGCGTTGCGATTCTCTCGTTGCGATTTTCATTTATCTCGTTGCGACAGTCATTCTCTCGTTGCGATTTTCATTTCAACCAAAAGACAAAACAGTGTTGCAAATTTTAGTTTCAAGAATAAACTACTACTTTTTATGTTTATTGTTTTTGGTATATCTTCACAGTGTAGTTTTTGGTATATCTAACTTGGTATGTTTATTGTTTTTGTAGAAATTTTTTTCGGCTCAATTGACCTTGAGAAATAAAGTCAGCCTGGCCACTACAATTGCTTCGAAGCTTTCACCTGCTCAAAGATAATTGTTTGAGGAAACCTGCTTCGGGCCATGGCTGAGAGTACAGCATCCGGGTGGAGATGCTAATTTGACCCATTTGTGGCTTCAGACCATGACATCAAATCTACCCGACAGTATACAACGTGGTGAGGAAGAGATATGGTTTCATTTTCCACCAGCGTATACTTGTTTTGGGCGGAAGGAGTTCTGCTTAATCACTGGTCTACGATTCGGACACGATGATGTAGGCCGGTACACTCGTCATATTGCCCGCCCATCATGGTTATCCCGGGTTTTTCCGGATGAGTCAATGGAGAAGCCGAACCTACATGTCGACGACCTGAAGAAATTGTTTAATAAGAAAGCTGGTTTCACTCGGATGGATGACGTCGATGTTGTCTGAGTATGCCTTCTACTACTTGTGTATGCCGACTTTTTAGGCAGAGAGGCCAGACAACCTATTCATCAGGAGCTAATAATATTGGTAGAGGACCTGAATGCATGGAATCTGTTTCCGTGGGGTTCGTATATATGGAAAGCTACCTGGACTAAGTTGTCGTCTGCCTTTGATGACCGCAAAAGTTTGCGGGGCGATGGGTCCAAATACACTTTGTCAGGCTTTGTTTGGGCCTTTAAGGTAAGAATTTCTATATAATGTTTCTAAAATTATAATTAATTATTTAACAATTACTAATTTTGTTATTATATTGTTTGTAGATTTGGATATTCGAGGCTTTCCCCAGCATGCGTACATATGCAATAAAAACGTCAAATGATATTCCCAGGGCTATTTCCTGGAAGAGGAAAACTCTGTTGGATTGGGAAGACTTAATACCATATGCGACAATAAATAATGTAAGTTAACACAAATACTTTCATAAAATATATAAACAAGTTATTAATAGTAGACGTTTAACTTTGTTTGAGTTTTTATATTTTAGGAGGCCAACATTCCATTACAAAGACTGACACCCACGGAGGAAGAGCTTGCCACTGATTGGTGGCAAGCTAGTCAGAGTTTTTTTGATGGCACGGATGATGAGCAGCATCCACTTCCTCCAATTCGAGAGCCATCACCTCACCTAGAGCCATCACCCGATCGACCCGACTATACACCTCTAGAACGAGAGCCATCACCTATCCCGTCACATCATCGAGCCTCTTCTCCACCATCACCTCATGATAGGCGACCGACAAAGATGCCACGACTCCTATCTCCCTGTTCTCCACCTCCACCTCCACGGGATGAGTCAAGGGAGTTACGTGATGAGGTCAATGCCTTGCGTGAGGAGATCGGTACTCTACGCGATAACGATGGTGCATGGCGTGTGGAGGTGTCAACTTTACGTGGTGAGGTTGCCGCTCTACGTGAGATGATAGTATCGTTGCAGAATGAGGTTCATACTCTACGCAACGAGGTAAGTTTAAGATTTTCCATATTTAACTTAATGATAAATTTACTCGTAATTTCACTTAGATTAGCCATTTCACTTAGATTGCTTAGTAAATTTATTCGGTTGCTGCCAATTCTGCTAAACTGTGTATTCTTTAACACTGTGAAATAGTATTTGTCTTTGTTTTGTCTTTTGGTTGAAAGTAAATTTGTTCGGTTGCTGCCAATTCTGCTAAACTGTGTATTCTTTAACACTGTGAAATAGTATTTGTCTTTGTTTTGTCTTTTGGTTGAAAGTAAATTTGTTTGGTTGCTGCCAATTCTGCTAAACTGTGTATTCTTTAACACTGTGAAATAGTATTTGTCTTTGTTTTGTCTTTTGGTTGAAAGTAAATTTGTTCGGTTGCTGCCAATTCTGCTAAACTGTGTATTCTTTAACACTGTGAAATAGTATTTGTCTTTGTTTTGTCTTTTGGTTGAAGTAATGCAATCCATTCAAGTTTCAATTTGCAGAAGAAGAAATAGTTTACTTTCGCAACACGAAACTTAAAATCGCAACGCGAAACCAAAATCGCAACGCGAAACCAAAATCGCAACGCGAAATGAAAATCGCAACGACAGAATCGCAACGCGAAACCAAAATCGCAACGACAAGATCGCAACGCGAAACCAAAATCGCATTGCGATTTTCATTTCGCGTTGCGATTCTTTCGTTGCGATTTTCATTTCGCATTGCGATTCTGTCGTTGCGATTTTCATTTCGCGTTGCGATTTTGGTTTCGCGTTGCGATTTTAAGTTTCGTGTTGCGAAAGTAAACTATTTCTTCTTCTGCAAATTGAAACTTGAATGGATTGCATTACTTCAACCAATAGACAAAACAAAGACAAATACTAACTTCAGGGTATTAGTTTGAAACATATTTTTCTTTGTTATCTGATGCATTTTGTGAACTATGATAGAATAATGACTTGGGTGAATACAATGCAAGTTTGAAACATATTTGTCTTTGTTTTCACTGTTTAAATATCATGTCTGTTTATTTACTGATTTTTGTATTTAATTATTTAGCGGCCCGATAGAGTGGATGCTTTACGTCGGGTTATGCTTGCACGACGGAGTTCACGCATCAGACAGCGTGCACGTGCTATTAAGTCTCCGTACACCCCAATAGTGCGAAGACACCGTAAGAAGAAGCCCGACTCGCCTGTCATCCCTCAAGAGTCCACTCCTATCGTTGAAGAGGCCCCCCCTATCATTCCTCGAGAGTCCCCTCCCACCGTTCAAGAGGCCACTGTCATCATTGAAGAGGTCCCTCCCACCATTCAAGAGCCCGATTCACATGGCGTCATATGTAGGCTTCTTGAGAAACCCTATGACGTGCCGGACATGATGGATTCAAGTTGGCTCTCGTATGAGTTACCGGCCAGTACCATACCGGTATCTGAAGAGGAGAGGGAACAACTACCGGACACAATTCTGGATAACACCCTTTGGGCTAAGACCGCTGTTGATTTTTATCTACATGAGCGGAGCCAGGGGTGTTTCACTGACATATGCAAGCTCACCGATGATATCTATTTGTTGCTTGATCGGTCTTGGTGGGGCGTATTATTAGGGGTCGAAGACAATGGCTATTTCGATGGGGGGGTAAGTCTTATATTTTTCTTATATTTCAATTTGATTAATTTTTTTTTTAAATTTATGTAAGTCACTAATATATGTCTTTTTTTTAAAACAGCATATCGATGCGTGGGTGACACGTCTTCTAATAATAAGAAAACTTAAGAAAAATAAAAATATACGATATAC